CTCCATGGACCCAGAAGCAGTGAGACTTAAAGCCGAATTTCTTAAAGCTCTAAGAAAGTTTGAGGTGACGGGAAATCCAGATGACAGAAGGGTTTCTATTGAAAATAAAAAGAACTATGACCTGTACTTGAAAACGATGCGGAAAAAGGTTAACTCTGACCAGTTGATGAAAGCTGAAAATAAATCTAAAGCTATCTGGGAAACAATAAACACAGTGTGGCCCAAAAAGGAAACATCCCTAAATGAAATAACCCTTCAAGTAGATGGCCAACTCATAAGTAATGTGACCCATGTTGCAGAGCATTTGAATACATTTTTTACACAAGTAGGAGAAAAAACAGTAGAGAAACAAAAACACCTAAAGACCACAGCTCAAACTCCTGACGTAACTCAAACAGGTCCACTGTTTTCCTCCTTTCAAAGCACAGACGAGAAGGAAGTTAAAATGATTATAAACAAACTTAAAGCAAAAAACTCGTCTGGAATTGATGAAATCTCGTCAAAAATACTTAAGCATTGCTGCAATGAACTAGCACTACCATTGGCTGATTTGATAAATAAGTCCCTAAAACAAGGCATCTTTCCTTCACTACTTAAAATAACTAAAGTATACCCGAAATTTAAAAAAGGTAGCACATTAGAAGCAAGCAACTACAGACCAATTTCCCTCGTTTCCACCTTCTCCAAAATATACGAAAAAGTTGTTTTAAAAAGACTTTTAGACCACTGCACAAATCACAACCTACTAAACAACCTTCAACATGGATTTACAAAAGGGAAATCCACAACAACAGCAATAATTCAGATGGTTGAGTCCCTGATTGACAGCCTAGATGAAGGAAATCTAACAACAGGAATCTTTCTTGATTTCAGTAAGGCATTTGACTGCCTTGACCACCAGCTAATCATTAAAAAGCTGGATTCCCTGGGGGTATCAGGGATAGTAAGAGAATGGTTTCAAAGCTACCTTACAGACAGGAGTCAGTTTGTAGAACTAAGGCACAGAGATAACAGCCTAATAAGAAAAACAAGATCAAATTTTCAACCAATAAATCGAGGAGTTCCCCAAGGTTCAGTTATGGGTCCGGTACTGTTTATTCTTTTTACCAACGATTTGCCGCAACAAATAGGAGACGCCTGCCTTACTCTTATGTATGCTGATGACACAACCTTAGTGTTTAATGAACCACTAGCTGAAAATCTAGAAGTAAAATCCTATGTGTCACTCAGTATGGCCTACCAATACTGCTATAACAATGATCTCGCAGTAAACACGTCTAAAACAACTCAAATAGCTTTTGGCCGTAAATCTCAAGAAGTGCCACGACTCCCAGATGTAGAAGTGGAAGATGAAGCTAAGTTTTTGGGCATCACACTCGACAAGAATTTAACCTGGACCCCTCATGTGGACAATATATGTAAAAAATTAAGTTCAACCATCTATGCTCTTAAACATATAAAAAATGCAACAGATGACATGACAACAAAAGTAGCATACTTTGCACTTTTCGAGTCGCATATGAGATATGGACTTGTAGCATGGGGTGGAACCTCTGCCACTAACATGCAAAGAGTTCTCAGAAAACAAAAAAAGGCAGTCAGAATAACTGCAGGACTCCACAGACTCGACAGCTGCAGGGAAGCATTCAGGTCACTCAAAGTACTTACCCTTGTAGCACTCTACATCCAGGAAGTTGTGTTATTTGCAGTAAGAAATAACCCTACAAGGCGTGGCGAAATGCACCAACACAACCTGAGAAACACCATGCAGTACAACCTTCCACAACATCGCACGACACAGTTTGAAAAGAAACCTTCATACGCAGGAATGAAAATCTACAACAGGCTACCTCCAGATCTAAGAAGCAAGTCAGAAGATGACCTCAAACCAGCTTTGCATCAATGGCTCATTAATCGACCTTTCTATTCCTTAGAAGAATACCATCAACAGGTCTTTGACTAAACAACACCTCAACCAAACATTTAGAAAAAATTGTAAATTGACGCTACTACTATTCTTAATGAATGTGTAAATAAAGATTATTTGTCTATTGTCTATTGTCTATTGTCTATTTGATTAAATAAATACCATTCCTTTTATCCATTTTTCCTACTAATGTAATATATTTCAGAAGGTTTGTACTATTTATTCATAATTTACATTAATGTAGAAATTAGTCAGTTGAGCCTAACTAGGCCTAGGCTAGTAACTGATTAAATAGTTAGGCTTTTATATGTTGGCTATCTTTTATTTAGGCTATTTGTTTTGCAAATAGGCCATTGATATATGACCTGCCACAGAAGATATGACCATGACGTTAGGCTATAAATAAAGAACAATATGTAAACAATAAATAAAGATAACGTAGTGTTGAGCGCGAAACGTCGAGGGGGGTGCGTAGGAGAGGTGGGGCGTGTGCAGGAGAAGGGGAGGCGTGGGAGAGGGGTAGGCGCGGAAGAGAGGGGAGTGCGGGAGAGAGCGCAGCCATGGAGAGAGCAGGAAAGTGGCGCCTTGGTACTGCGAAACATCTGGTTACTGCTCAAGCTCCTGCCAGTCTGTCTGAAGAGAAGGCGGATATATCCGCTTCCCGTCAGGAACATCAAAAACCATAAAAACCCGTCCTTTATCGCCAAAGACTTAGGCGGATATATCCGTCACCCGTCCAGGAAGGGTTAATATACTACTACAGTCAAAAATTTCCCGGAGTGAATTTTTGTAGACATTTAGCCCTATCGCCAGTGGCAAATTCGCCTCGCAGTAGTTTCTACGACTTCTGGAGAGGGCATATCGGTAGAGGGGGGATAGCTGACGAGCCGTAGTGCAGCATTGTTAAGCGCCTTTTATATACCTGCAAGGCAAGTGTACTTTGTCGGTTACTGTCAGTCGTGTACCACAAATTGAGTGGCACAAACTTGGTAGAGGGTCGTAGAGATAACAGCATGTTTCGTCACCAGTGACAATTTAGTTTAAAAAAATTGGATCTGCATCGGCCATAACAACGAATTCACCAGGAATCAACATTCAAGATTCTTTGTGATCTGGAGACTTTTGGAACCATTCACGATCAAATTCGATGCATGTTCAAATAATCATGAAGGATGGTGTGAACACTTTTATGAGATAAATGTACCTCAAATGCAATATCATAAATTGTTGATTTCCGATTGTCATACTCGCTCAATGTTTACATCATTGATTGCTGTTGAAGGAAGTCCACTTTGAGGGTCATCGTCAATGCTTTCACGGCCTTCATGACACCTCTCCAGGAGTCATACCAACTGCTGCAAGGCGAATTTACCGCTGGCGATCGCGCTAAATGTCTACAGAAATTCATTCCAGGAACATTTTGACTGTTATATGTATATGATGGTAGTAAAATATGTTTTTTATTGAGTAATACAGTATCTTTAACTTACATTGAAACTACATAAATAACATGGTAATTTTAAATTTACAATTTTTTAAATTATCTCCGTAACCGTTGGACATACAACAACGCTTCAGTATACAAAATTATTTCTTTTTTTAAGCTCTAGAAAATGGTTTGAAGAGAAATTATAAAATTTTGTGTTTTTAGGGTTAAACATGTGAAAAATCTATTTTCACCCTCATAAACCCCCCTTCCCATAGACTGTTTCTGCTAGTTAGCGAACTCGTTCGAATAGTTTGTAAAAAATTTCATCAAAATCGGATGATTTTTGCTCGAGTTATCACACTAACGGACACACACATATATATATGAATTTGAGCGGATGGTGTTTTTGGCCTCTGGGGACCTCAAAACAAAAAATTAAATCCGTCCCGGGTCTAGGTCTTACCATGAGACCTACGGTGTTAGCTTATTCCCTATATCAGAAATTTACTAAAAAAAACAAATAGAGTTGTTGTTGGAAAGGGAAATTAACTTCCTTTATAAAGTAATACCCACGCCGCAGAAAACCTGCAGACTAAGCGAATTTCCATTTACCTGGCTGGATTTCCATAAAAAAGTTTTCAGATTTATTTCCATTAATTTTAATGAGTACTTAGATTTGCTGCTACTGGGAAGGTATTGAAGTTTTTTTTTATGGTGATAGCTAAGTATGAAATAAACAAAATTGCTAGATTTGATTCTAATATATATCCATAAACAAGCAAACTACAACAGTTTATTTATTGTCCATAAGAATAACATGGGAATTTTAAATTTACAATTTTTTGAATTAACTGCATAATTGTTAGGCATACAAAACAACGTTTCAATGTACACAATTTTTAATTTTTTTAAAGCTCTACAAAATGGTCTGGGAAAAAATTGTGAAATTTTGTGTTTTTAGGGTCAAAAATGGGAAAACCCCATTTTTATCCCATAAAACCCCCCATAAACCGCTGTTCCCATAGCCCAATCATGCTGCTGGTTCTCGAACTTGTTCGAATAAACGTTTACACGTTAGTACAAAATTTCATCAAAATTTCTCAAGTTATCGCGCTAACGAACACAAAAACATGTACATATATATGAATTTGAACGGAGGGTGTTTTTGGCCTCTGGAGACCTCAAAACAAAAAGGTATTGGGTCCCGGGTCTAGGTGTTACCATGAGACCTACGGCAATAGCTTATTCCCTATATGGGAAATTCGCTAAAAGTGGATACTGGGACAAATTGGCTGTGTCATATTGACTAACTGTTAAAATGTGGAGTTACATTACCCCTATAATTCATAGGCGAGAATTTTTATATGTTGTGTATTTTACTTAATACCATGTGTTATTATCGGTCAGTTTGTGTTTGTTTGTATTATCACATTACATTATAAGTTTGGTTCAAGTTAACTTGTGTACTTATCATTTCCAAATACCCAAATACAATGATTAAACATCTGAGCCCTGTTGGTACTATAGTTGAAATTCATACAATTCACCACCTGTTTGTTCTCGGGATTGCATTCAGATACCAACATATCACTAAAACACCAGGTGCTGGCAACATGGAATTTATGTGATGTTTTGTGTCAACAGACTGGCAAGACGATGTGGCAGGAGATGAACAGACCAAGGAAGCTGTTAGACAAGCCACCATAGCTGCACGTTGGGCCCAGGCATATCATCGCACTCCGCTTAGCAAGTTGACTCTGGATGCGAGCACTCTCAGTGAAGTGTTGCGGCTCCACCTGCTGGCATCTGGGGGCCGATGTGGCGACAACAGTGCAAAGTGGAGGTAAGACTACACCATCCCATCAACTTTGACAAGTACAGTAGTAGACTCTCAGTAATCTGGCAGATATAGTACCGCGATACTGCCGGATTACTGGAGTGTTATCATTAAAAACACTTAAAATGCAATTAAAACACGTCTTTGAAGATCACGTTCGGGCATGACGACGATGACGTTTCCGTAATCGTGGTAGAAGATGATAACGTCTACACGGCCGCGGGATATAATTATGATTTTGCTACGATCGTTTAAGATGTTCGTGAAATTGCCGCGATCGCGCGTGACGACGATGACGTTTTTCTTGACCGTGGGAGTAGACAATGATGTTTAACCCTAGCAGTGGCCAATGTTAAAAGTGGGAAATGGCCAACCCATTTTGGCGAAGACCTTTTTTTGAAAATTCGTAAAAATTCAACCGTACAAGTAAACCTAGCCGACCTCATATTCATTTTGTTCGGAAAGAATAGTAGAATCTAGAAATAGTAATGTCATAATGATTTAGACAGTGTATTTTATCAGTACACTGTCTAAGAAAGTGAAAAAAATAAAACATTTGATTTTTTTTTTTTTTCAAAAGCGGCCTTGGTATTTATTTTTATACGGATTTCTTATGGGAAATTCACTATATACATTTTGAAGACAATCTAATTGATTCCCTACATAGATATATAACATGTTTCTTCTAACATGTCTAATCGTCACTTTAGACATGATGCTAAAAAAATAAAACCTTTTATGAACACTATTTCACACAATTCAGTAATATTTATGCATAATAAAATGCATGAAGATTACTGTTATACACACACACACAAACTTCACTAACACTAACACTACGAACTAATAACGTATTTAGTAATAAATCGTGGATAACACGAGAGCAAACACTCCCGCAACAACACACAATGGTGAATACAAGAAGACAGACTGTAGCAGTAATGACTCACTTCCGTCGTCTTCATGTGAGCAGACGGAAATAACCCTAAGTGCAGGGCTGCCACTCTCACAATCTATCCCCGTGCGGTACCGGGTTAGAATAGGACCGCAGCCTCCCTCAGCTTGTCGTAAAAGTTGACTAACAGGGGGTGGGAGATCCTTCTCTTTATGCTCCCAACTTTCTCTGAGGCCAAGTTTGCTTCTTACCTTTGGCTTGTACCTCGAAATCTTTCATCTTTCCTTTTTACACTTCTTTTTTTCAACCCCGGTTTGGGTGTTTTCCTTTCTTTTTTTTTTGACCGGCAAGCACTATTGAGCCTTGGGAGTGCCCTTTCTGTGCAAAAGGGCTGTTTTGTGCCTCGCACTGCCGATGGGACCTCTCTGGTGTGTCGTCAGGAACCAGCCCCTTCGGGCCCTAGTCAGGGAGTGCGGCATGGGTGCAGAGTTCGGGCTCTGCACTGCCACGGGCGACCCCTGGTACGTCAGGATTCTCGGTACTAGGCAAACGGAGACCGGGCCCCAGGGAACTGGGGTAGGGGCTACGTCCCCGAGGGTATACCCGTTCCTGGTTATTCCGGGCCGTCCCTTGCCGTACGATGCGCTGGCAAACATTTTTATGGCTATTTCAACCTCAGGTAGCATGGAGGGCTTGCTTGGCAAGCAGTCAGATGAGAAGGCGTTTAAGAGGGGAGGGTGTGTTTCAAGGTCACCCCCTCTGACGGTAGAAAATATATCGTTGGCACCTTCGCTGGTAAAGGGAGCGACTGTCTCCCCTCCACCGGTGCCAGCATTCAAGTCTGGTGAAGGGCTGTTTGTTGGAGGAACACCTTACAACAACATTGCAGTCGGAGAGCTCAGGGATGGTGCTTCTGCGTCAGAAATACCTTGACGCAGAGAGTAGCATCGAAACCCGGCTTCGAGACATGGAGGAGACCATTAAAGCTATGCTGGACACCTTTCGGACCCAGAAAGCTGTTAACCAAGTGGTCAAAAATGGCATGGCCAAGCTAGAAGATGACCTTGGATTAGTTTTTGCCTGCCGGTTGGTAAGCAAGGTGGCCATGGAGAAGATTGCGGAGAAGGTAGTGTCTATGCCCGACGACAGGGCACTGCCTTCCAAGAAACGCAGAAGGCCATCCACTACGGAAAGCCCTCCAAAAAAGGAAGAGGCTGTTCAGACCACAAGGTAAAGGCGCAAACAACAAACGTTGCCCAAATTGGGCCCGGTTTGGCCCCCGCTCTTAAAAGGTCGCGGCCAAAAATGCCCAGGACGGAGGCAATCTTGGTTAAGCCCTCAGGGGGGAGATCATTCGCTGAAGTCTTGGGTATAATAAAGGCTAAAGCTAAGCCAGAGCAGACCGATACGGTTGTGCGGTCGATTAGGCAAACCCGGGGCGGGGACGTCCTCCTTGAACTGGGTAAGTCAAAGGACAAATCCGATTCTGCTGCTGAACTATGTTGACTTAAATGAAAGTAAATTACTAACACCTAAGGTTTTACTGTTACAATAATTATCTTTATTTTACTGAAGTACACACACACAACATTTTTACTCAAACATAACTTATTCAAGAATTCTCATTACAATAAAAACAATCCTAACTATTTACACATGATCAGCTGTTAGCAACATAAATTAAATTAAATACAGGACAAGTGACAGCAAACATCTATAATATTAAAACGAAAGTGTGTTTTTTTATTTCACGATTCTGAATCAACCACTCGACGGATTTTCATGATTTTTGGGTTGAAAGAAAGATAATTTTGAGAACTAGGGAATGTCGAAGCCATAATTTTAGTTTAGGGTCCCAGTTTTTTAGAAATTAAGTTTTAATTTTTAAAAAGTCTAGCAGCCGACGCTAAGATTCTAAACTAGCTTTTGGCATAAAATAATTTGCTTAACATAACAGCTGTAAACATTCAGCTTTTGTGTCACAAATTCAGCATTTGGATAAAAATGTAAAGACATACTTAGGATTGACTTATTTATACTATGTGTAATGCTAATCATTGATACGTTCAATTCTTCTGTAAGAGGATGGCAGATTAATTAAATATACATAGTAAAATACTAGGATGTTCAAATTATTTTTTAAAGCAATCTTTGTAATCTTCGATTTGTTTTAGAGCAATATAATTTGTTTTAACTAACAGCTGGTTAAATATAAACTATGGAACTATGAGGTTATTTTATTTTTGTCATTGATTATAGGAAATAAGTAAGATTAGTAGAGATAATTAGACCACAGTTTAAACCAATATTAATTAAACCACAGTACAAATCGAGGCTCTGTACACGAGTCTTAATAAAAAAGGATAAATGCAAATTATTTTACTGCTCCACTTTTCAAGGAAAGATTAGAAAAATAACAATGTTTACATGTTTTAATTTTTCATGGTAGCTTTTTGTTTACAATTAATGTTTGTCTGCTTTAACTTTGTATGGATTAGGCCCGGAAATATTGATGTCATAAAAAGAAGATCAAGAATAATCAGGAATCACGATTTTAAATTACGACCACAACCTCAGCCGGGTTTTATACAAAGATAAACAGATGGATGACATAGATTGAACACAACGTCAACATTGACCTAGGATACTGCAATTAGACAAACCATCCTTAAAATCGTGTTCAGTTGTGGTTACGTTTGGGGGCACCTATATCAGCGCCCCCAAACGTGAAAATAATATCACTTTTATTTCAACTATGAATATATTGTAGTTTAAGTTAACTAATATGGGAAATTAAGATGTACATTTCTTCAATGAGGGTGTGTAATTATCAAGAATAGAACTGAAAACGGTATAGATAATAAACATTGACAATTACGTCATTAGCTTTACTAGCGTGTTTACTTTTTATATTCCTGCTACATGTGACCAGTTCTTATTTTCAAATGAATGTTATTTGAACCAAACAGCTGTTTCAAAACAAACTGTTATTGTTTTTACTTTTCTTTGTTTACGCATATTTATTTATCAATTAATGCAGTGAAATTCATATAAAGGATAGGTGTGACGATTCGTTTTGATGTTAGGACACCAAAGTTTGTGTACTGTGAATTTTATTGGATATTATCGTTTTGTTTTAGGTCGTTTCTATTCAGACCTACTGGAAATTGTGTATAGTAGTTGTATTGTGGTGATAATAATTATGGAAGAGGCAGGTATGCGCTATGGAAGGTGGTATCGTTGACTAGGTCTATACACTTCTCAATTTTGACTATTACTCTCTCTACAATATGCTACTTATAATCAGTGTGCGTCTGTGCGAATCGGCTACAAATCTCACTTCAACGCTTTTCACATCGTAAAAATTGCAGAATTGCTGTTTTATTTTAAAATTAACGGATTTAAAATGCATATCGTATAGGCCTATGATGGAATAAAAACATATTTGGTCACACAACATTTGTTTACAAGATGATTTTTTACATTAAAACTGCAAGAAACTTTGTCTTTATATGTGTAAACTAGCTGATCTGAATTGTACACGGTTTTAACTGGCTACTGAATTCCCGTACGTAGGACAGGCTAACACCTCGTATTATATAAAAATAAAATTACATTCAACACCTTCCCTTAATTTTAATTTTATACAAGAAACAAAAAATAAATATCTCGATTATCGTCTTCTGTTCAAGATTTTGGATAGTTGATCAAAGCTTTGCTAAATTGATGAAACTTAACATTGTTCAAGGGTTTTGTAAACATATCCGCAACATTCCCAGATGTAGAAACAAAAGAAATGTTTATTTTACCTTGCCTTACATTTTCAGTCAAAAAATGGTAGCGAACATCAATGTGTTTGCTTCGCTTATTAAAAATTCCATTTTTACAAAGCTTAATAGCACTTTGATTGTCCATGTTTAGGTTTGTTTCAACATTAGTTCCACTCAACTCTTGCAAGAAAGTTTTAAATATAACACTTCTTTGACACATTCCGCCGCTGCAATGTATTCTGCTTCAGTGCTGGACAAAGCTACAATCGGTTGTCTTCTTGTACACCAGCTTATTGGGTCTTCTCCATACATTATGACAAATCCAGTAGTACTTCTTCTTG